GTCATAGGGAACCCGAAAGGGGCGTTGTGGGGTGCTAACACCTTCCTCACACGTAACCGACTCCCTTACCCAACTCTGGTTGTAATGGCCGAAGTTGATTTGCGAAAATCAATTGCCTTATATCTTTTTCCAATGTTTTGAGTAAAACATTGGTGGCGACTCCAAGAACCCCTTCTTTTTGCGAAAACCACTAATCCATGGAGGGTCCCGCTTGGGATTAACATGGATTGGTGAGAGTCATTTAAATAAAATTGTTAGCTCGATGAGGTCTCAGTTTGAGAATAAGTCGTTCTAACAATCCATCATCTTTCAAAACTTAAAAAGAGTCCAACCATCGTCGCGAATGCCAAGGTCCGTTTCGGCGGGTGGCGACACATACAAAGCAAGCATCAGATTGTCATGAGGTACTAAATTCATTAAATATCCAATAAAAGTAAACTACGAGTCATATAAATTAGAAAACAGTATAGTACACAGATGTATCCAAACAAAGATATAGACATGGATATGTTTGCATTTATATATTATTCAGCGTACACATAGGGTGACCCAACCTGGAAATCCAGCCTTACAACACAAGAAGGAATTTGCAAGGAGATTTTGTCTCTGTAGCAATGACAACTCCTTTTGCAGCTGCAAGAATCAAATATCAAATCAAATCAAACAATTTTGTCTCTAGCCTTTGCGTGTGACTCTGCTCCGCATTGGTTCAGGATTTAAAAAAGAGACTGCAGAAGTTGAAAAACATGAATTGGGAAACAATGACTGCAGAATTGCTTGAGATAGTTTCCAGAAGTGGAGCAAGGAATCCTTACGACCAACTTGTCGCTATCCATCAAACAATTTGTGTTGAAGATTATGTGCATCAGTTTGAAATGTTGCTTGCACAATTATTAGAAGTTCTGGAAGAAGCTTTGGTATATTTTATGAATGGATTATTAAGCAATGCTATCAAAAGGAAGGTAAAAACACATGACCCATAGAATGCTCAAAGGGAAATCTGCGTTGCCCAATCCATTGAAGATGAGTTGTTTGGAGAAACTCTGGCTAATGTTCCAAAAATAGCCAATAAAAAATGATCCAATATATGCAAATCATTATGTACTACCAGGAGCAATTACTGAATACCTAAAACCATGAGTTGTTTGCTTCACAATTGGCTTAGCAAATTGCAATAGAAGCCAATTAGGGATACAAAGACAAAATTGAAAATAATACCTCTCTGTTCCCACACGACTGCAAATGGAATGTTGAGAAAGCCTGTCGGTGAGAATAGAGAGAGAAGACGGCGATGAGATCTTGTGAGAATCTGGAACACCGAAAGG